TGTGGGCGGTGACTGAGCCATATAATTTAAAATATCGTATCTATATAATATCGGGATACGATTTTTTCATTGGATGCTCATTCCGAATCCAAGAGCCTCCACATACTGACAGGTTGATAAATTTTCAATGTGCTGCAACCCAGCAAAAGACAAATTGCATGGGCTTAGCATAAATGAAAATGTCGTATAGGTTTCCCTCGTTAACTCAACATGTTTGATAAATTACTGATCAATTCTCTTGTTAAATAAATAAAAGTTTTTTGTAAGAAATAGCAAACCTTGGTATTGCTAAAAAACGCTACTGATAGGTCGCATGGCAGTGACGGCTGATTGCATGGCGACTGATTACTCGTCTGTAACTGCTGGCGTCAGTGATTGGCGTCAGTGAAAAACCCGTCAGTGATTGGCGGATTGCTGGAAAAGGCATAAACATTTTTGACAGTACGCTTGAGTGGCCAGTTGCCTGTCAGCTGGATTTCACTCGTCCCTCAGACCTCGTACTGAAAGCAACGCGCATTCCCGGCCACACTTGATTACGAAGCGAGGTGTCGAGTAACTCTGGTGTAGAGACTCATTGTACGTGAACATACTGCAATTCAAACGAACTTATCAGTCATTTTGGTGAAATTTTAATATTGTTCTATGTTATGCATTTCGATATGGACAGTTATTTTCAAGCCTTATTTAGTTACTATTTTAAAAATATTCTTAAGTAGTGTCAGTTACTTTTTTTTACAGTATCCGCTGTTGTTGGTGTCGAGGATTAATAAAGATATAAAAATATCGGCCCGAAATTTAATTTTTAAATTAATAAGGCACTTTTATGTCAGTAGTTATACTACATGATAATACTCAATGTTAAAACAATGTATATATTTTGTTTTGTTTTAACTATTATTACTAAATTTTAATTAATAGTTAAAAAAGTTCGGTTTTCTTCATGGATAATTAGATTTTTTAAGCTTGTATGTCAATTATTCCTGGTGCATTATTTAGGCTTTTTTTATTTTTACAAGTAAAATATTTATTCACAAATAAAGTGTATTTATTTTTACAATAATGTTATTTTCCATTTTTTATGTCACGATTCGCGTAATGCTATTGTGAGCTAACTAGTCTTCCCGAGCCCCATTATTAATAACAAAAATTTCTTCCATTTAATCAATGGTCAAGATTAAAACACTGACAGCTTGTGCATGAAATTCCATTTTTCCATTCAGTAGTAACAATCTTCTTACATTTAATAACCGGCCGTTTTTTAGCACCATTTTTTTCTTTCAGTAGCCGTCTTCAACCAGCAAAAGACTGTCAAGATGAAGTTAATCCCGCTTCCTCTAGCCTGGCACTCTGTGCTTACGGTAAGCTAAATAATATATGCGTTTAAAAATTAAATTTTAATTTAATTAAATTTAATTTAATTAAATTTTTAAAAATTAAATTTTTAAAGACATTACCTATTTCTAAAGAATCCTGTGTCGTCGATGTTACACATGTGCAATGAATTTCTAATTTTATTTTCATATTAAAACAAATAAATTTTAATTTTTTTTATTATATAAAAAATTTAAATTATCAAAATTGATTATTCTGTCAATTTATTCATGCATTGTCTCTGACTTTATGCAAGTGTGCAAAATTTCAGATCGATTGGACAGGTAGACGTGTGTTAAATATCGATCATAATATTTGTAGCAGGCAAAATTGGTTTTTCAATTTTTTTTTTTTAATTATTTATTCTGTCAATTGATACGTGCATTGTCTCCAACTTTACGCAAAAATAAAAAATTTCAAATTTATTGCACGATCTTAAGTTGTAATCTTATAATATCGATTATATAAGATTTGTAGCGAACAAACAAACAAACTAACAAACAAACAACAAGAAGTGAAGTTAAAGAGAATTGTTCCTAAAACATGTACACTTACGCTGACTTGAGATTAATATGGTATTGAACGAAAAACAACGATTTGGTATTTTATTTTGCATCTCCAGTATGGATAAATTAAATCTGCCTTTTTTCTCGTGTTCCTGGCAAATTTATTTATATCAACAGCAGAATTTTAAAAATATGGTTCATTTTTAGTCGTTTATAATTTATTGTCCCGATGGATTTCCTGGAATTGCCCTTAAAAATTTTTATTGTTATGCTGTGTCGTACAATCATGGAAATTTTGTTTCGTATCTCATCGAAAGAAGTGCAATTTCTTCCATTATCTGGACATGCATTCTTATCTGTGTGAAAAACTTGGGACAATGTAGCAGAGTTTTCAATTACCTAATATGTCCTGACGAAGAGGTGAACTTTAAATCTTCCAAATGCATGTGTCTGATTTACATATTCTAATATTTTTGTAATAATTTACATAATCCGAAGACCACCACTGCCCTGGATGTAATGGACCATCATGATTCCTGCCTTCCGGAACGTAGCCTTCAACACTTCAAGCCGTCTGTATCTAGGCCCTGTGTCGAACCTGCCCTCGGTCGAACGGCCACTTGTCGAAGGACGATAAATTTTGGAACAGAACTATGCTATCTGAAACACAATTATACACCCCAGCCAAGAAAATGGTAACAAGCGTAGCGTATCTATCAATGACATGCTGCAGATGCGGTGAACGTAAAATTACGTAATTTAACGATGCCAGGAAGTCATTCGATCCGCGGCCTGGTGGTGCACGATAGCGTCGATAGCCTGATAGGTTCTATGCATTATGCAAGGCCGGAGGACAAAGCCGAGTGGTTCACGGCTGATTGGTGGATGCCCGGAGAGATCCAAGGCGTTCGATTCAGCCATTCAGGGCTTATTGGTGCACAAAATTGGTGGTGCACGGCTGCGCTCCCGCCTAAGTGATTATTCGCTAAAAGCCATGGCCCATAGGTACAAATTCCTTGCATTGAAATGACCCAGAGTCCAAACTCCAGTGAGTTAAAGAGAAGGAAGCCACCAATACAATCGCTCTAACGTCTAAGCATTATAACTTAAGCATAGGCCGTACTTAAAACCTCCCATTCTGACGGTCTGACCTGAATACCTAGACAAGTTGACAGTTCAGTTGTACTTGTACTTGTAGCTGTTAGCCATCTACTACCTAGGTATTTCTGTTTCTGTAATCTGATTCTCATGTATAATCATTATCANGAAAGCCACAGGGACTAAATCCCTTAATGGATGTAAACCAGCGAGCCAATGACCTGCAAGTTGAAGCCGCCAAAACAATGGTCGTAGCCCACACGCTAAACCCCAAAATATTTCTATTCCATGCAGCCTAGCCCCTTCCCCACTTTTGATAAAGAACGCCCTGCGCCACAGTGCTATCAGTACACTGCTACCTCTCCAGCCTGTCCGTTCTTCTGGAAGCTAAACCTCCACGCTGTGACGCTTACCTCCTGCTCCCCCTCCTTTCGGTACCAGCTTGCAGGAGAATTCTAACCAAACCTAACCTAACGGTTACCACCACATCTCATGCCTGGCTCCTGCAGTCGCACCCTTCCTGCCTCGCAATATTCCATGCAATGCCTAACCTAACCTAACCCATTCGCGGAAAGGTGGAGAGAAGGGGGTAAGTGTGGAGGAAGAAGATGCTGGTGAGCGTCAGGGCTGGGCTTATACCTGCGAAGTGGGTAAGGTGATGCGACAGTCCAGTGCGGCGCAGTTCCCATTTACGGTAGTATGGTGCGGTCTGCAGAGTGCAGACCCTGTGGCTTACGGCATTTGTAAGAAGTGATGGTATAGGCTTAAATCATTGGTGTTGTTAGGGGCTGTTGGGCGTAATCTGTTTGGAGTATCAGCTTGTGGGCTGAGGCATTGCTTGTTTCAAGCTGGTGTGGCGAGATGAGGCAAGTAAGAACAGCTGCATACTCAGATGCGGTGAACGTAAAATTACGTAATTTAACGTTGCCAGGAAGTCATATTCGATCCGCGGCCTGGCGGTGCACAATAGTGTTGATAGGGTCTATGCATTATGCAAGGCTGGAGGACAAAGCCGAGTGGTTCACGGCTGATTGGCGGATGCCCGGAGAGATCCAAGGCATTCGATTCAGGGCTTATTGGTGCAAAAAATTGGTGGTGCACGGCTGCGCTCCCGCCTAAGTGATTATTTGCTAAAAGCCATAGGTACAAATTCCTTGCATTGAAACATAGTGACAAACCAGAAATTTTTTAAAATCAGTTCATTTCTAATTTCCTTATTTATTCAAGACTTAAACCAATTTCTTATGTAAGATAATGCTGGGATTCATGATACTTTACTGGTCTACTTATAGGACTCAAAAATGAACTTGAGGGAGAGTCTAAAAAACTCTCTGCTTTGCCACTATGCATGATACTTTACTGGTCTACTTATAGGACTCAAAAATGAACTTGAGGGAGAGTCTAAAAAACTCTCTGCTTTGCCACTATGCATTGAAATGACCCAGAGTCCAGACTCCAGTGAGTTAATGAGAAGGAAGCCACCAATAGCAATACAATCGCTCTAAGCATTATAAGCATAGGCCGTACTTAAAACCTCCCATTCTGACGGTCTGACCTGAGTGACCTGAATAGACAAGTAACAAGTTGACAGTTCAGTTGTACTTGTAGCCATCTATGATCTACTATCTATTTCTGTTTCTGTAATCTGATTCTCATGTATAATCATTATCAGTCAGGTGGCACCTAATGGTTCCTCCTGACTTATTTAATGCAGGATTTAAATGATTAAGACATATTAGGCTATTTGTTATTGTTAATGACTTAATGGGCATTAGTGCATATGTGCTACCTACTCAGTCATGGCACCTTTTCAACTTATGCCATGGCATGAAAATGAAACAAATACATTCATTTTCATTCATTGTGTAACTGCACTAAAACTTATTATGTTTAATTAATGTTCTTTTAGTGTCAATCCAAGTAATCCATTGTACAATTTTATTGTTGATAATTATTTAGTGGTGCAATGTTGAAAAAATTTAGTATTTAATTTGTAATTAAATATTCAAATTTAATGTATTTTCCAGGTAAAATAGTATGGCTGTTTTCTTCAATGGATGAAATAAGAAATGTGATTCAGAAATATTTAAACCTCAGTGATGAGGTTTTGTCAGAAGTTGTTAAAACCATCCAAGATGCTGGAGCTGAAAATCTCAGTGAAGCCATTGAATTTATTCAGGAGAAAGATCTTGCTGGCGTTCTTAAGCCCATACAGATCCGAAAGCTTTTGAAACGATGGTGTGAGTACCATTTCTTGTATAGATGAAGCTTTCAGGAGATTAGGCGCTATAAATTTAACTGTCTTGGATCTTTGAAAATTTTAAATTGTCTTCTAAGGAATAATGAAATTAAAATTTAATTTTTAAATTCAAGTTTAAAGTTAATATTTAAATTCTAATTTGAATTAAATATCACTCCTCACAAACTAATGTTTATTGTGATGGTATATAAACCTTCAATTTTCTCCTGAAATATGAATGATTGATTTTTGAGTCTTATTGATGATTACTTGGAATATATTTACATATTATTTGTGATAGGTCAAATTGATTTAACTATCAATTATCAATAATTTAAAACTTGTATTCCAGCTGAACAAGATTGCCAGCCGCCTGTGAGAGTGAGCACCGCAGCAACAGTGAGCAAGGCTGAAACAGTTCTGAGGTGTCCGCAGGTACAGGAAAATGATCTAGCCTGGCCATTCATCCTGGACCTGAAGATGGAGTCCTTAGACACTGAAATCATTCATGACTTGGATTCACAGAACCGAGTTATTGGTAGAAAACGACGAGCATTAGTGCGCCATGTGTTGTCACAAATACATACAGTGACAAAAAGACCTCAAAAAAAAGAACTGAGAATCATTGCCGCACGTATCAATTCAATGTATCCCAAAGCCATCACTGATCACTTTGATGAAAATAAAGTTGGCTCAGGATATGACACTTTCCTCAATCAGCTGGTGAACAGGAATGACAACTTCTATAGGAAGAAGCTAAGGGTTTTTGGTGATTGTATATATTCTGCTGGATCAGCAAGGACAGCCCAAGACTTGGACTGCACTGCGAATTGGCAGCTAAGTCTTGCAAAGCTGGAACAAGTTGCTGCATCGTCGCTGCGAGACACACACAAAGCACATTTACAGCTCTAAATTTTGTTTAGTAAGTTGTGTTTGTATTAAAAACTAGTAAGTTTACCTGGCATTATCCATGATAGGTACCTGCATTTTGAGAATCTTGCTATTCTGAATTTTGAAATCCTGCATCCAAACTAACATTCTTGAACTAAATTACTTCAATTGATGTATCCATATGTGAATATATGATGAACATCCAGCATATATATTTATATATAAGCTCAACTTGAGGACAGGGTACCGTTAAATAAGTATATAGTCAAATGGGATAAGACAGGATTGCAGCCTTCATGGGGTAAGAAAGGACCAGCCCATGGCGTGCATTCTAATTGCACTGAATTCAATTTGACAAAAGAATATGTTGGAGCAAACATTGCCTGTCATTTCAGTGTTTGTGGCAACCCTCTACTGCAAATAATGAATTTCTGGCTAATTTTTGAAGAAAACCTATGTAAAGAAGGGTCACAAAAATAAGGGAAAAGTGAAGTCTCGTTCTATATTAAACTTGTCTTGATATAGGGTGGTTATATATGAGAGTCATTACAGAGGTACAGGCAGGTAAACAGCTAATAGCCACGTACGTCAGGTCGGAGTAACTAGCAATAAGTGCTACATCGCTGCGGTCGTGCAGGCTACTAGAGGAGCTTATAAACCCTGCACTTTTATAAACTTGGTATACTTCCGCCCACAAATGCTCACGTGATGTTGTCTAGACTTTCTGACTCATTGTCTAGCTCTCCATCAATCTCTTTCATGCCTAGTGAATTTACTAGATTAATAATTTTACATAATTAGAATGAGACGCCTAATTGACACCTGGTAGATGAAAGATCAAGTAAAACTTACATTTAGCTTGGAACTCCCATTAAAGTCCCATCTTTTAATTCCTTGCAAACTTGAAATCAGATTTAATTTTTAAAGTCTAATTTCCTCCCCTTTGCTTTTCTTCAATGTCTCCTAATTTTACCACAAAATTTTATTTACAGGTCATGTCCCGGAACTATAATTGATATTGATATGCATACATATCAATGGGCACAATCCCAGATCAACCTCCCCTGTAACACTACCAGCGGCGAGAAGCAAGCAACAGCATCGTGCATCAGGTGGCCCAAATGAGGGCGGATGAACTATAATCAGAGGCGGCGATCCATCGTGGCCTGGGACTGCTACGTCCCAAACAAATACCAAGGATACCCTAAACTTCTACAATAGTCTTTATATAATGGATAATTGTTCCTGTTTACTACACAGTTTAATACTATTAATTAAATATTCACAGAAAGTCTTGATGGCTGTTGATTGCCTGTGAACAAAACTAAAGTTCATAGATTGCTTTGTGGGATTGGCAATTCATTGACATGCATTAGCATGTAATCTCTTGTTATTAGTCATGAAATTGGTATTTTCATTTTACTGTAAAATGTTATTTTGACGAAGCTACCCTCATAATTGTGTGCTAGATTGAATCTCATGTTCCTCTTTATAACATTCATGTATTAATTTTCTAAGTTCTATTTCAAGTTATTTTGTATGAGTGAGCGGCGAGGTTAGTGGTACTAGAGCACTACATTTATTTCCAGTGTCTAACTCAGGATTTTTTCATTTTAAAGCATTTACTTTAGGCTCCTGTGAAGAAATATGAGAGTATTTTCAATCAATTAATTTTTTTTTATCTAAGAATGTGCTCTGAGACTGCGTTATAATAGTTTATTTGAATCACTCTGATTAGTTCTCCACGTAGTAGTAGTTCTCCACGTAGATCTTCCAAGTAAGCGGACTAACTGGTATATAAGTTATTATCTCTGAAAAGGAATTTTTGAGACTATTTCCACAGCCTTTTGTTGTGTTGGCTTGTACACATCACTGCAGGACCCATTATACTGCAATTATCCAAGCCTTCAGAACTTGATAAAAAGTAATGTATTGCACGTTAATTTTATGATTCCGTCACTTTTTTCCTAAGAACATTTGTAATTACCTACGGTGTTTTTACTTTCTACATTTTGTAGTGTGAATTTAATCCTTTCTCAAAGATCACACTGAAATAAACACACTTAAATTTTCACAAGCTCTCGTGCTTTTGTCAAGATATTACATCTTATAACCCAAGCAAAAAAAAAAAAAGTCTTCAAATGTGAACTGTGATCACGTGATAAGCATCAAGGTAACAACGTGAACATTTCTGGGCTCTGCGATTGTTCGGTTCACTTTTTCGTTAGCTGCTCTGCGGTCAACTCGGTGCTATGCGTGGCCCCCCGACATTACTTGCTTGGTTGGTGACAGGCTGAAGGGGAAGAAGTCACGTGTTGACCGATTGTAACACATGGACTCTGCAATGATTATGTATTTCCATCGTATTTTGTTCAGTTTCATCATTCGCTCTGCAGGCGTTAGCTCTCCAGGTCGTCGGCATTCCCTCATGATCAGAAAGCACAAATCATTGTTAGATGCAGTGCTCGTCACCAGCCACAAGGTAGCTAGATGCACCTTTGCCTGAGATAAGTAGCACCTGCTCGCACTATCGAGTGGTGAACTCTCCTGGGGTTCTGCTTTCTGTTGAGGTCTTCCCTCGTGTACACTAGCGACGATCACATACTGCAGTTTACATTAATGATTTTAATGTTCATTGACTTTCAGCCGGTAAGGCTGATCAATTATTGAAAGATAAATGTTTATTTCATTCAGTTTTAATTTCAGTTTTCCAATGAATTTTAGAAGCTTGAACAGCTCGAGAATTATGTTGGCCAATTTACACTAGGTGTTTGTGGTGCCGAGGTAATCTTAAATGTTTTATTATGCCCATAAAGAATCGGCAAATCACTATTTGCAAGTTTTGTTCCGTCATTCCTTGCTCGCCATCTTCATTGGGCTCTTGTTATCCCTGTGGGTAATGCTCAATTTCTTATTAGCTTTAGCGTGACGTTCGACACCTTCTCGTATGTTGATATCAATGTGAACGACTGGCGCTAGCCTTGATGTACGTACCTGTAAACCTTATGTCCATCTATAGGTATTCAAGTCATTATTAAATAAATAAAAAACAAAGATTTAATTTTCAATATCTGATCAATTTTGGATCATAGATTTCGATTATTAACTTGCTCTGTGCCTCATTTGATCTTTGTTGACGTCTGAAATAGCTACACGTTGAACCCTTAATTAACGCGAGACTAACCTCACCTCTGGTATTTCACTTTACCCCCCTTTTAAAAAATTTCTGCCTGTTCGTTGCCTGATTCTATAGCGACTTGCCCTACCCCAATTCACCATCTTTCTTCACTAGGAGAATAAATGCATGGAGCGATGCCACTGTGAAGATGTTCGGCTCCTTGTTTATTCATGAAGCTTATGGAATAAATCCTTAATTGCATGTCTATCCTAATATGCTCGAGATTTCGGACGTGAGCAAACTGTTTGTAATTAATTCTAAACGATTACTTGCAAGTTAGCTTTTACACAATCAAGGACGTAAGACACTATAGGTGTTTACTCGATGAACGCGGCTCTTCTCTGGCACCAATGGTTAAAATACTGGAGCAACAACGTAGAAGGCTAGACTGTGGTCCCGGCAACATCTGTGCGGGTGTAGATCAGCCATGCACCGACATTCATCGAAGAATTATTCTTAGTAAACTTGAAGTTGAGGTACGTCACTCAAGCTTCGCAGGCATGGAGCAAGCGATGATCAGATATCATAACGTGGTGTTGTCGGCGCTGAAGAGTAGGCCTGATGTGGCCTGTCGCCGATTCTTGTACTTTTCGTGACTTGTTCACAGGAGATCTTAAAACAGGTCCATTGACCGGATATTCTCAAAACTGACGTTAATTTGAAATAGCTACTAGACTTACACCAAGTTCAATCTGGTGCTAGGCATTTCGCGTCTGAACGTATATTTATCTATAGCTTTATATACTGTAGTCTGTACTGTATAACGCGTTCATACTCTGAGCGTCAACTATGTAAGCAGGAAGGCTGTTCCACATGTCGGTGATTCGAAGCTGGAAGAAGTGTAAGTCAGTGTAGTCAGTTAGACTGCACTTCACGCAACAGCCGCTCATGTGAAACACTGTCAAATGCTTTGGCAAAAGCGAGGTACACTGCATCCACTGGCTCCCTTTCGACCAGAAAGCGAGTCCAATCGTTCAACGTAGACAAGAGATTAGTTGTGCAGGATCTACCGGCAATAACAGTCAGACAGAAGATTTATAGTCAAGTGATCGATAATCCTATCCATCATAAAGATTTTATTACTTTCCAAACAACACTGACTCTATCAGACTGACAGGGCGATAGTTACCGGGGCTATTCTAGTCACCTTTTTGAACAATGGTGTCACTTGAGCTTCTTTCCAATCGGCCGGCAAAGTCCCTTCGTTCAATGTTAAAAATACGGTCAAAGGACCGTCTGGGACTGTTGCTAATTCTTTGAGCAATCTAGGGTGGAAGCCTTCTGGTCCACATGACTTGTTTAAGTTGTTATGTTACGATTCAGAGCGACCAGGCTCTTGAGAACCACTTCGTGTATTTCATAACCTGTCAACTTCGAGCCGACTGGTCGCTCGTCAATAGCAGGAGTGCTGTTCAAGTCCTCATCTGTGAACACAATACTAAAAACGTTTGTCTTGCCCTCATGAGAGGATATCTTTTGTCGATCTACTTTCATAACAGAAATACCGTCGTTTGTCTTACACAACGAACTAGCGTATAAGATCCTTCATAGCAAACTTGAGGGTCTATAGCATTATGGGAATATTTTTATTTTATTTTATTTCAATAAAAATACTTTAAAACACACTTGATTCGTGATTTTTTTTTGCGTCCAAATCAATTTAGTGGCCTCATTCCTCAAATTGTCCATGTTATCAGCTTGCAGCAAGCCGAAAAGGCTTGATTATCTTGCGCAATTTTTTGTTAGGAATTAGCCATGCCCTTTAAATAGAGTTTCATGTCCAACTTTTAGAAGAAAATACACTCCTTCAACAAATAGAACAAATTAATTAGATATTGTTGGTAAATTAACCAAAATCATTAGAGAGGCTCGATCGAAATTGTGCGTTGTATACTAGCTCCTGACTATTCCTCCTGCAAGCTCTGTGAGAAGAGCTGGCAGATTGTGTGAATCAAAGCCAGCAATCTTTATTATGTCTGACTCTAAAAGGCATGACTATCCGGACGAGAGGTGCGAGTATTTCAGGGTTGCGAAAACGTACTGCGGACAGCGCAAGTTATATGGAAAGCGTGTGACAGTTGGAACTTGGAAACTGAAATCGGAGAGAGTCACTTTAGATGAGCGCCTTGCAAAGCTGTATATGTGGAAGCATGATAGAATTGTTAATGCATGGCTACTGCTGATATATGTTTTGATTTCGCAAGTAGATCATCTAGTTTTTTTTTCAATATTATTATAATTATGTATATATTTCTATTATTATTGTTATTATTATTGTTTTTTGTTTAATGAAGGTTGTTAAATTAGCAGCCCTTACTTACCTAAATTACATTAGCAGTAACTCATTTCATTTACTAATATATGTTCCCTGTAAACTTCTACCCAATCCTGTACTGAGCTTACATCAGCCAACCTCACAAGACGGCAGCAATTAATTTCATATACAAAGAAGNCAAAACGTTTGTTGAAGATCGCGCATAGTTGCGGTCATGTCAAAGCGGTCAGACTGTATATTAACACGTGCTGAACTTACAGTAGAGACAAATTAGATGTGTATAAGAGACAGGTTTAAGGGTAAAATTAGAGATTTGGGGTAACATGTGCATAAACTTTGTAAATAAATTCGCATTCGCACCTCGTAAATGGCTTTTCATGGCCGAGATATGGAATTCACGGCTCGGTGAAATAGAATCACGGCTTGTAGAAATGGAATCACGGCTGGCAAATCCATAAAACCATGGCTCAAAAAATTCAGTCGCGGCTCGCCAAGTAGATATATTCCATACTAGTCTGTCACTGGCCACTGCTTCTGCACTCTGCAGTGAGACTGAGTTACATTTTTTGC